TTCAGACAAGAACAATGCTCTTCTCACAGATTGAGGACTGACCACCTCAACTTTTAGGGTGATGACTGATTACATCGTCTTCAATTCTTCTGCTTTATCAACTTTCTGTACTCGACTGAAGAACCCTACTGTGTAGGCGAAACGTTTCATAATAAAGATACCTAACTGTTGCATATGTGTCTTACCTAACAATAAGTTCTTACGTAATGATTGCTTCGTGTGAATAATAATAATTAGCATATTGCGAAGGTGCGTTTGTGTAAAAACTTGCATTTGTAGTCAGTGGTGCCTATGGTAACCTTCCTATGATATACAAATATACCTAGTTGGATGAATCTTATTGTAGCCAGCTGGCCCAGTGGCTAACGCGTTGATCTTCAGTTTTAGAATTCACTAGTTGTTAGGTAAGACACATATGCAACAGTTGTCTAACTGTTGCATATGTGTCTTACCTAACAACCTGTCGGTATTGTATACCATTTTGATGTTCAGAATTCACTAGCCGCGAGTTCAATCCCAACCCGTACCGTGGTTGTATGACCGGTTCAGTCCTGGACGTGTTTCCTTGCACGTGTTGCCTCTGTTCGCCTAGCAGTTACTAGATACCTCAGTGTAAGCTGACTGTTGTAGATCCCATCCTTGGATTCTGGGGGAATGTACCTTAAATAAGTTAAACTTTAAAATGAACTGAAGTAAGATTTTGAATGGTTTAACTTTAAAATTAAAATGGTTTTTAAAAAAATATGGCAAAGTATACCTTTTTCAAACAAAATTCAGGTAGCCCAATAACCAATTAACCCAAAATCCAAGTGGAAAATTTTTGGAATTTATTAAAATTGGGGAAAAGTTTCGGGCCCCGAAACCTTAAATCCTAAGAATTTACTTTTTGGGTTGCGAAAAGTTTTTTATAAATAAAGGTTTACTGGTTAGTATTTTTTTTCTAACCTTGACGGGTTTGTATTAGGATAAAAACCTTTTTTTTTTTTTCATTGGTTCCAAACAGCGGAGTTTTGAATGGGGAAAATCGGGTGGAAAGTTGGTGTGTTAACGTAGGTTACCTGCTACAATCCATTAAAGCATATTCAAAAAGCCACCTTTGTCAACTGGCTCGTCTCTAACGGGCATTTTACCTTTCCTAAACTGATCCCTGGGCCGGGGTCCTTTTTAACACGTTAAAGTTCGGTAAGGCCCCCTTAAAAAAATAATGAGCCTATATTTAAGCGAAAAAATTTAGGGCTTCAGAATCTGACCAAACCATGGTGTTGTAAACAAAACCTTCCAAACTGAGATGAATTAACCTCATTTTTTTTTACATTGGTTTCCTCCTGTTTTCTAATTTGGGCCCGAATCGATGGGTAAACCCTGGAAAAGGCGGGGGAAAAACTACAATAAAGAAACCATGAGTTAACAAGGCCCCGAACTTCTCAGGACTTTAAAATTAGGGGGTTTTTAGGTTTTAAAATAAGCAAATTAAAAGGGATTATTTCGAAAATTTCGCCTAACAGACTTCGCAGCAGGTTTTAAGAAAATTGATTAGGGAAGGAAAGGGAAATAACTTGAAAGAGGGGTGTTAAAATCCCCGTCCATCAAACCCTTAAAGGGTTATTTGAGGGTGGGTAGTTCCCCCAAATTGGAAAGGGGGATTTGTTCTCTTAAATAATTTAAACAATATGGAGATTGGGGTGACTAGTTTCATTCCTTTTCCTTTTTGTTTCTATTTATGAACATGCCCTTAACCCGCCCTTTCCCGGTTAGGCCCAAACCATTTTCAATTAAAGGATTTACCTAACTTTTGCATAGTTGTTTTTACCTAAACCAACCCGTTTGTATTTTCACCACAAAAAATTTTAAATGTTTTTCGGAAAATTCTCATCTGGTTCATTTGAGCATGTAAATATTTGTTTACCTTGGTGCCTCATGCTCAATAATAGGTCTGGCATAAGTCGTTGATAAGGTTCCTGAGGACTTTGAGGTACCTCAGTTTGATGTTAGCGAAACATGTCTGTTGCGCGTCCTGTCATATTCAATATGAAAATTGTATACAGTACCGACAGTCTGTACTAGACTCTGTAATCTGGAACAGATTATGGAGCAAAGCTTTTCTTCAGGCTGAGGGACTGACCACCTCAAAACTACGACTTTCTTAAAGGGTAATGAATTGATTCTGTTAACTCTTCTGTACTCGCCTGAAGAAGCCTACTGTGTAAGCGAAACGTTTCGGAATAAAGATACATAACTGTTGCATATGTGTATTAATGTTGGTAGAATTACCGAAAATATGTTAGGTAAAAGACACAAGTGCAACTAATGTGACATTTTATTGTGGCAACGTTTCGCTCTCCAGGAGCTTTATGAAGTCTAACGGCTTGATAAAGCCGTCATATTCTTCTCGTGTGTATTTTTGTGTGCCTGTGCGCACACTTGCCTATTTGTCATTTCAAGAGATAAGTATCAGGCCCTGGTCCCAAGTCGTGACCGGGTTCACGTAGGGCCTATCATACCAATTTATTCCGCTTCCTGACCACGCTGGGGCTAAAATCCTAATCCCGACGTCCATGTGTTCAATTTGTTTATTTAACGTCTAAGTGCATCTTTATGTGCCAGTTTCTCGCCTCTCGGATAGTTTATATCTGCTTATCATGTATGGTTCTCTTAATATGTTATACCTGTTGTGTGTTTCCTGGTCTTTCTGTTCTCTAATGTCATTACGTTCATTTATTTAAGTCTCTCATAGTTTGTTCCTTTTAGCTCCGGACTGATTTGTTGTAAACCTTTGCACTTTCTCACATTTCTTAACATGGTTTATCAAGTGTGGGCTCCAGACTGGTGCTGGTACCCCAAGATGAGCCTGGTATGTCATGTCTCTTCGTTGAGGTTTTGGAAAACGCTTGTTAGATTCCCCAAACGTGCATTTATTACAAAGGGTTATTCGGTTGAGGTGCTTCTCTTGTGATATGTTCGGTGTTATGCTCACCCCTAGGCACTTACTGTGTGAGGCTTGCAGCGTCTATCCCCAGAGTCTAGACCACTTCCGGTTTTCTTTCTCCATCCCACTGTTCTTAATTAACTTTGCAGTTGCTAAGATTGAGGTCCAGGATCCTTTGTATGGTTGTGGTGGGTGAGGGATGTTTACTCAGTGGTGTTAGCTGGGTGAAAACTGACCTACTATAGCGGCTGTACAGGTCTTGAGTCAGGCGGCGAGAGCTAACATTTCAAGGTTGACATCTGAAATGTCAGGGTGTGGTGCAGCTGCTTAGCCTTGCGAGGATGCCACCTTACGTAAGTAACAGTAAGTGTAGAGGTGTCAAGTGTTTGTGAACAGTGGGCGTGGTCAGAGCTGCCTCACCTGTATTGCCACCAACAGTGGGCGTGGTCAGAGCTGCCTCACCTGTATTGCCACCAACAGTGGGCGTGGTCGTGATCAGAGCTGCCTCACCTGTATTGCCACTAACAGTGGGCGTGGTCAGAGCTGCCTCACCTGTATTGCCACTAACAGTGGGCGTGGTCAGAGCTGCCTCACCTGTATTGCCACCAACAGTGGGCGTGGTCAGAGCTGCCTCACCTGTATTGCCACCAACAGTGGGCGTGGTCAGAGCTGCCTCACCTGTATTGCCACCAACGGAAATACATTTCTTGTTTATATTACATTTTTTAAATTATCATTGTTGTCTGTGATAGTGATTCCTGGCGGCCAGAGGGGAAATAATGGGGTTTTGAATATTCTCAAGGATCACAATGGAAATAAGTCACTTTGTCAGACATATTTTGGGTTATCCTAGGTAATTTATACACAAATGCAATTATAAATATTTTATTTATTTTTGCAGTATACAGGTAATGTAGTTTACTTGCAATAAAATATTGTTAGGCACAAAAGAAAGCTACTAAGATGCGGTACATTGCGGGCATATGTTTCTGTGTATGATAATTGTACTTATGTGAACCTCTACCTAAATAAACCTACTTATTCCCTCTCGACCCCTTCTCTCGCATTCTCCCAGTCCCTCTTGTGTTGCCTCTTTCCTCTCCCTCCACCCTGCCCCTCTCTCTCTCCCTCTACTTCCTTTCACCCTCTCTGGGTTACTCTCTCATCACACAGTTACGTGTGTGTGTGTGTGTGTGTGTGTTTATTTAAGAGTTTTCTTGCGACTTTCTGAAGCGTCACATACTATTATTACTTCAGGTTCAGAAGCTTAGCTTCTCTGAACATCACAGTAATTGCATGAAGCTGAAAGGGTTTAGCGAAACAGCTAGAAGTCGTTAGCTAACATTATAAAATATTTTGGTTAATACGTTGCAGCAACAGTGTGGGAGGCTTACGTCACTTTCCCGCTCTTATGAGCTGCAGGTTTTGTGAGATTGTTTCCACCTGCTGTAAGTTAGTTGAGCAAGACTGTGTTGCGTGTACTCTCACTTGTTGGTGTTGATGTCACATTGAAGGAACGGTGGTAAGGTCAATCTGTGTAGCAAGTACCAGGGATTATTGGTTCTCCTGAAGAGAGGATATGGTCACTTTATCTGGTGTAGTGGACACGCCTAGTGACTCATCACCGCTATTTTCCTCTTACACAAATAACCCGTCGTCGTAAGCTCCTCTCTTCTATGTGCGGGTTATTTGTTTATCGTTCCAGTCACGGTAATGTGCCTTTTTTTATTTATTTTCCTCTTGTTTACAAATTGGTATTCGATTTTGTGTGTGTGTCAAAGTGAGCTTACTTGGAGTTGCTTCCGGAGGTCATTGTCCCCGTGATGACCTTATTATTTGTGAGTGTATTACTTTGATGGTTATAAGATTACGTTTGTATACCAGTATGCCTTAAAACCTGATCTCAATTACCAGCTTGCATTCTTGTACCAATATTAGTTAAATTAATAATGACCGTAAGGATATCCTTATTGCATTCATCCGTGAGTGAGTGAGCGAGCAAGGAAGCACGCAAGCAAGCAAGCAAGCGAGCAAGCAAGCAAGCGAACGCGTGTGTCACAGTGGTAGGTGTAGCAGGTGTTATACCCCTCACCTGGGAGATTGTCCCGGTCACCCTGATCACAGGTAGTCAGTATGCCCTTCCCTACCTACCTACCCAGCCGCCCTCTCAGTCCTCCACTGAGCCAACCGCCCGCCTAGGCAGGCAGGCAAGCAAGCAACAGCTCCGTCGGACGCAGGAGTGTGCAGTTTTCCTCTCACAGTGAGTGCGAGCCGCGTCTCTCCGCCGCTCACATCATCTGATCCTTCTTACCCAGACTTGTTCACAGTGCGTTGAATTTACCAGTGTTGATATCTGTGCTTGACTCTATTGAGTACCAGCCCCGCTATGCTGAATGAAACAGACTCGTGTGACCTATGCCTTGGTAACTTCTGAAATAGATTTATGCGATGAATTTGTGACTTGGTTCTATACGAGGATCTATGGCACCGTTTCCACGGTATCCTAACTAAAGTGTTACTTGTGTAAAGGATTAAAATGAGGGATCGTAAGGAATGTTGGTGGATCTTAGAGCCTGGACCTTTTCTTCAAAGACTTCGTTTTAAATTGACTGCCAAGAACTGTCCTTTGTTGTACGTGATGGGTGTAGTTGTTACTGTTAGAACCCGGGTATGATTGGAAATTGAAAGTTGCTTTGAGTGTGCTGTGTCCCGCTGACCTTAAAAGTGACGGAGCGAACTCGTTGTTGATCTTATGAGTGATGATGTGTACTGGTTTTTAATGTTATTAGTGGTCATCTGATACACAATTGAATATTATGAGATAAATCAACCATTTTTGACATTAACGGTCTTGTTAGTCTTCATATTAAGAACGATCGTGCGAGTCCATTATAGATCATATTGCGATCGTTTGATCAATTATTGATCACGTGTGCTTTACAGTGTTGTTGCTGTGCTTAGGTACATATAGTATAGTCATTGCACATGTCAGTTTTCACCGATATCTCCTTGTTCTTGCTATGGATATCATTTTCCTGCTTTAAGAAACCTCTCCCGCGTGATGGAATATAATTAGGAAACATTTAGCTTGACAAGCACTTTCGAATGAAACCGTATCCCTCACACAAGATACTGTAGGTTTTGCACATACAGGGGATAATGGAGAGTAGGGGTCCATATTAGTGTTTGGGGCTACGAGTGTGTTAAGAGTTTGTGGGTCTGCATTTGCAAATAAGTTTCTTTCCTCTTTAGTAAAAACATTGATTACTCTAGCTAGTGGTGCCAGTGTTTTGACAAGGCTGTTACAAGCGACCTTGAGCTAGCAGGGAAAGGAATAAACAAGGGAAGGAACAGCGTGTGTACTGCGCCTGAGTGCAACTCCAGTTCCCGGTCCCACATCTTTACCTTCAGTGGACGGGTGTAGCCGCTCCTAGCCACCGGAAGAAAGGTTATCTCATCTACTTCAGACTCTGTATGGTGTTTGCTTCTATACCTTCTCACCTTTGATAAATGAGACACATTTGGGTATCTTTATTCTGGAAACGTTTCACTAGTCAGTGGCTTTTCCAGTCCAGTGCAGAGAAAGGTGGAAGCTTAGTTTAAGGTAATTAGTCTCTTCAACCTGGAGTCGATGTGTTCGGTCCAGACTGAACACATCGAAGGGACTGATTATCTTAAAACCCTCATCTACCTTCTCTGCATTGGACTGAAGAAGTCGCTGACTGGAGAAACGTTTCCAGAATAAAGATATCCAAATGTTGCACAAGTGTCTCGTCAACATTTATCACTGTGTGTAAATAACGCCACAACACAACCCCAAACATCCCCGCGGGTTGTGTGTGTATAAAGCTTCCATCTATAACCACTTGTTCTGCTCCCTCATGTCAATTATTCTGGCCTTGTCCTATTTGTGTACCCGCAAGTACGTGCTCTCGCCGCTCAGTTTATTTACTTGGGGTGGAGGTGGCTTTGGGTTGTAGGTTTAATATTTCCAAGCTCTGGGAATCCACTGTTTAGTAATGTGTTTTATATTCAGCCTGCATCCTACCTTATGATAGTGCCTATCAAGGCTACTGGCCTCGTTATGGATGTGTTCAAATCAGCTGTTTGCTTGCCATGACTGGTTCCTCTGTAATATGGTTAGTGGTGTATATCTGCATTTACTAGCGTGGTTTCTGGTAGGTAAGTGAAGAGAGTTTACTGTTGATGTCATAATTGCTTCAGTTACCTGTGCTCAGTTATAAGTTGTATTAGGAAGTGTAATTGCTCATGGAAGGTTACAAGGTTGATGATTAATAGTTTGTACGACTGACTGTCACTCTGGTGATTGATTGGTGTAATGTGGTGTACTGGTAGGGTGTTGCTGCTGGTGTTATCATGCTGGTTTAAGGTGGTTTACTGTGGTGTTACTCTGTGTTGCTGCGGTTGCTGCTGGTTTACTGGTTGGGTTGCTGGGTGTTTGTTGGTACTGTTGTGCTCTAGTTTGTCTGTGTTACTTGGTTTTATGTGTTGCTGGTGTTACTGCTGTGTTATGTTGTGTTACTCAGTGTTAGGATTCGTGTTACTGCTGGGTAGCTGCTGGTGTACTGTTGTGTTGCATGTGGTGTTATGTGGTGACTGCTGGTAGTTATGCTGGTGTTACTGGCTGTGTTTTGGCTGCTTGGTGTTACTGGTTGGTTACTGCTGGTGTTGATTTTACTGTGGTTACTGTGGTATGTTGTTTGCATGGTGTTTAGTGTATGGTGTTGCTGCTGGTGTTAGGTTTGTAGCTGCTGTTTTTGGGAGGTGTTCTCTGTGTTGATTGAGGTTCTGGTGTTTGGCGTGTTACTGTTTGTTGCTGTGTTTACTGGGGTACTGGTGTTTACTGCTCTGGTGTTACTGGTTGTGATTGCTGCTGGTGTATACTGGTGTGTTGCTGCTGGGTTACTGGTGTTACTGCTGGTGTTCTGCTTGTTGCTGCGTGATTACTGGTTTGTGTTCTGCTCGTGTTACTGGTTGTGGTGCTGCTGGTGTTACTGCTGGTGTTACTGTGTTGTGTTGCTGCTGGTGTTACTGGTTGTGTTACTGCTGGTGTTACTGCTGGTGTTGCTGCTGGTGTTACTGCTGGTGTTACTGGTTGTGTTGCTGCTGGTGTTACTGGTTGTGTTACTGCTGGTGTTGATTCTGGTGTTACTGCTGGTGTTGCTGCTGGTGTTGCTGGGTGTTACTGGGTGTTACTGCTGGTGTTACTGCTGGTGTTGCTGCTGGTGTTACTGCTGGTGTTACTGGTTGTGTTGCTGCTGGTGTTACTGGTTGTGTTACTGTGGTGTGTTCTGCTGGTGTTGATTCTGGTGTTGATGCTGGTGTTTACTGGTGTGTTGCTGCTGGTGTTACTGGTTGTGTTCTGCTGGTGTTACTGCTGGTGTTACTGTTGTGTTGCTGCTGGTGTTATCTGGTGTTTCTGCTGGTGTTGCTGCTGGTGTTACTGGTTGTGTTGCTGCTGGTGTTACTGGTGTTGCTGCTGGTGTTACTGCTGGTGTTACTGGTTGTGTTACTGCTGGTGTTGATTCTGGTGTTACTGCTGGTGTTGCTGCTGGTGTTACTGGTTGTGTTGCTGCTGGTGTTACTGGTGTTGCTGCTGGTGTTACTGCTGGTGTTACTGGTTGTGTTCTGCTGGTGTTACTGGTGTTATGTGGTTGCTGCTGGTGTTACTGGTTGTGTTGCTGCGGTTTACTGTGTTTGTGGTGTCTGCTGGTGTTACTGGTTTGTGTGTGTTATGGTTGCTGGTGTTACGGGTTTGTGTGCTGCTGGTGTTACGGTTGTGTTGCTGCTGGTGTTACTGGTTGTGTTGCTGCTCGTGTTACTGGTTGTGTTGCTGCTGGTGTTACTGCTGGTGTTACTGGTTGTGTTGCTGCTCGTGTTACTGGTTATGTTGCTGCTGGTGTTACTGCTGATGTTACTGGTTGTGTTGCTGCTGGTGTTGCTGGTTGTGTTGCTGCTGGTGTTACTGGTTGTGTTGCTGCTGGTGTTACTGGTGTGTGTTGGTGCTGGTGTTTGCTGGTTTGTGTTGCTGCTGGTGTTGCTGTGTGTTACTGGTTGTGTTGCTGCTGGTGTTAGCTGGTGTTACTGGTTGTGTTGCTGCTGGTGTTACTGTTATGCTGGTGTTGCTGCTGTGTTCTGGTTGTGTTGCTGCTGGTGTACTGCTGGTGTTACTGGTTGTGTTGCTGCTGGTGTTACTGGTTGGTGTTGCTGCTGGTGTTACTGCTGGTGTTATGGTTGTGTTTGTGCTGGTCTGGTTGTGTTGCTGCTGGTGTTACTGGTTGTGTTGCTGCTGGTGTTGCTGCTGGTGTTACTGGTTGTGTTGCTGCTGGTGTTGCTGCTGGTGTTACTGCTGGTGTTACTGGTTGTGTTGTTGCTGTTGCTGCTGGTGTGACTGCTGGTGTTGCTGCTGGTGTTACTGCTGGTGTTACTGGTTGTGTTGCTGCTGGTGTTACTGCTGGTGTTGCTGCTGGTGTTACTGCTGGTGTTACTGGTTGTGTTGCTGTTGTTACTGCTGGTGTTGCTGCTGGTGTTACTGGTTGTGTTGCTGCTGGTGTTACTGATTGTGTTGCTGCTGGTGTTACTGCTGGTGTTGCTGCTGGTGTTAATGCTGGGTGTTACTGGTTATGGTGTTGCTGCTGGTTTACTGCTGGTGTTGCTGCTGGTGTTACTGCTGGTGTTGCTGCTGGTGTTACTGCTGGTGTTACTGCTGGTGTTGCTGCTGGTGTTACTGCTGGTGTTGCTGCTGGTGTTACTGATGGTGTTACTGCTGGTGTTGCTGCTGGTGTTACTGCTGGTGTTGCTGCTGGTGTTACTGTTGGTGTTGCTGCTGGTGTTACTGCTGGTGTTACTGCTGGTGTTGCTGCTGGTGTTACTGTTGGTGTTGCTGCTGGTGTTACTGCTGGTGTTCTGCTGGTGTTACTGTTTGGTGTTGCTGCTGGTGTTCTGCTGGTGTTACTGTGGTGTTGCTGCTGGTTTTACTGCTGGTGTTGCTGCTGGTGTTGCTGCTGGTGTTGCTGCTGGTGTTACTGTTGGTGTTACTGTTGGTGTTGCTGCTGGTGTTACTGCTGGTGTTGCTGCTGGTGTTGCTGCTGGTATTACTGTTGGTGTTACTGCTGGTGTTGCTGCTGGTGTTGCTGCTGGTGTTACTGTTGGTGTTGCTGCTGGTGTTACTGCTGGTGTTACTGCTGGTGTTGCTGCTGGTGTTGCTGCTGGTGTTACTGTTGGTGTTACTGCTGGTGTTACTGCTGGTGTTACTGCTGGTGTTACTGCTGGTGTTGCTGCTGGTATTACTGGTTGTGTTGCTGC